CGAAACATCGTATGTTTCAGCACCTTGAGCCCATAGTTGCTGCAACTCATATATTAGTGGCTGAAGAAACAAATCAAGTGATCTCCTAGGATGCTCTGGCCCAGGAACGAGAATGGAGAGAAACAAAAACTCTCGACGCAAGCACAGGTTTGGCGGTAAGTTGTATGGTGTAAGAATGACTGGCCATAGAGAATATTGTCTCCCATGCTTTCCAAATGGGCTGAAACCATCCGTACATAATCCAAGGTAGACATTTCTTCTCTCATACGCAAAATCTGGATATGTTGATTGGAAATGCTTCCAAGCTTTTGCATCTGAAGGATGTCTAATCTCACCATCTGTTGAATGCTCTGCATGCCATCTCATTGGTAGCGTTGTGCGTTCAGACTTATACAACCTCTGCAACCTTTTCGTCAAAGGCAAATACCACATCCTTTTGTATGGCACTGGAACTTTTCCACTCGTATCTTTATAACGAGCCTTCCCACAAAATTTGCATGTAATCCGCTGCTCATCCGCCCTCCAATAAATCATGCAGTTATCGCTGCATACATCTATTACTTGATACGATAAACCAAGACCAGCTACCAGTTTCTGAACCTCGTAGTATGAACCAGAGCTACATTATCCTCAGGTAGAATACCTTTTACAAAATTAGCAATCGCATCCATACAGTCTTCAGCCAAATTATAATCTGTTTTAATGCCCATCAGTCTTGTTGCAGATGATAAAGCTGAATGACCATCTCTGCAACCTTCGTACAAAGGTTGCTTTCATGCATCCAACATATCAAAAAATCTCATAGCTTCTGCATTGGGTAAATCTTCCCCTCTAAAATGATCATTTACCATCTGCTCAGTACCTACACCATAATCTACATCCGTTCTAATTGGTTCTTCTAACCTAACCGCAGGCTGAGGTTCGCTAGTACTACCATATTCATAATCAGTTTCTCCATGATGATACCAAACTTTGTAACTTCGTGTAAACCCTCTCAAATATAGATGAGTCCAAACATCTAACTCTTTTATAACCTTTTTATTTTTACAAGTAGAGCAAAGACATCTTAACATACCCGTTTTTGCTTCCGGTTTTCGTTTAACTAACGCCATGAATTCGCCTAAACCTCTTTGGTACTCTTCCGTTAGCAATCTCGTGTTAGGATCCAAATGAGGTCGATCGATCCAAGAACGGAAATAATTAGAAGAAGACATGTTTTTTTCAATCAAATTCGTGTGTAAAATAGTATGTGAGAGGAAGAAGATATGGAGTGAATGAAGAGGATGAGGGTGCTTGTATTTATAGATGAAATCTGCCGACAATTCTGAGGAAATTCTGACGGAAACAGCTAGTTCCTCGGAATTTCCTCGGAATTTTTAAAATCCCCCAACGGCTATAATAAATCCTCGGATTTTCGTCGGTTATTTCCAAGGAATAAGCTTTCCTCGGAATTCCGTCGGGATATTCCGTGGAAATTCCGACGAAATCCGAAATTTGGGTTTCCTCAGAATTTCCCCAGAATGTCCTCGGAATTTCGTCAGTTTTTTTCGAGGAACCGAGTTTCCTCGGAATTCCATCGGTATATTCCGAGGAAATTCCGAGGAATCCTTAAATTTGGGTTTCCTCGGAATTTCCTCGGAATGTCCTCGGAATTTTCCGAGGAATACATTTTCCGTCGGAATAGCCGTCAGAATTGCGGTGTTTTCTTGTAGTGTAAGGTAAGCGTACATCCGTCTCTTCCACAGCGAGAAATCGCCATCGCCATCAAATCGCTCGATCTCACACTTTGTCCCTTTCATCTTCGATCGATCTTGAAAGGAATCAACACCTCATATTCGCTAGCTCGCGAACCTGGCTCTGATACCACTTCTATTAGGATCTTAGTTTGAATCTTCGAATGTTTGTGAGATCTAGATCTAATCTTGTTGAAGAAACTGTAAAGAAAACAACACGAGATTTTGGTGACCTGGAGTTCACCGCACTCCCTCGAAGTGAGAGAGCCGCTATAACTCTCTGGAGCTGGAAAGATCCAGCAACTGCACTAGAATGAGATCTTAGCTCTAACTGAGCTCTCGAGATACAACAATGGCGATATCTTCTTGATCACCCTTTCTCTCTATCTCTCTCTCTCAGTGTTTCTCTCTCTCTATGCTGTTATATCACCATCAGCTTACAACATAAAGGAATCATACGAGTAAACTTATAACTCGTATACTAATGCAGTACCACGTGCTCCCACGTGCTCGATTGGTTTACACAAACCAATCATAACCGTATCCTCAATCCAATTAATTAATTGAGCCGAAACACTCGTGGACTGATTAGGAACACCATACTTCAACATATATGATATTTGGACAGATTGGTATTACTAAATGTTTTTATTCTTATTTATTTTAAGTTTAGGGTGAGTTGAGATATAGTTAAGTGATGCTATTATGAAATGTTGCTGGTGGTATGCCGATCTGGACAGTAGGAGAGGCAAGTGTTACAACTTCGTCATTTTCTAATGTGGTATCAAAAGCTTTGAATCTTTTTTTCTTTTTTTGATCAACCAGAAATTTTGAATCTTTAGTTTAATAATCTGGTTTAGGGATGGAAATGTGATGATAGTTTTGTATACATGTTTTAAATAGGGTTGGGCACTAATATTTGTTACTCATCAATACTTCCTACTTGATTCGTACTCGGGTTGAAAAATCATGTACTTGGCGTTTCAAGACAAGTAAAAAGTATGCAAATCTTACTACTTGCAAGTACAAGTCAAGTATTAAGTATCACAATTTTTTTAATATTCGACTCGTTACTTATTTATTATTTAATATTAATTCTAAAAATTGGTACTACCCCTTAATATACTTGTTTTACTACTATTATTGTAATAAAATCATTTTTTAGGTATTTAATGTAATACATACTTGTGTTCAATGAATTATATATAAACGCACTAAATCAAATAACTTGAACAAACTAAGTAAAACAACAAATATATGAAAACATATGTATCCACGTTAACCAAAACTTATATGTTTTGGTATATTTAATTTAAAACTTTTAAACTTAAGTAAAAAAAATATCAAATCTTACCAAGTAATTTGCAAGTATTAAAAATATAGGCAAGTACTTGATTAGCTAAGTACTTGATCGAATCAAGTATAAGCACAAGTAAGAAAATTTAATACTTACATAAAGCAAGTTAAGTAGTAGGTATGGCGAAAACCCAAAATACCTGACTTGCGCCCAGACCTAATTTTAAAGTTCCCATGGAATGTTTCTAGCTTAGTAGGTTTGATTTGGGTGAAGTTGATATTGTACTGTGGGCAGATGTAGACGCTGGAGTGGACGATTAGTTAGAGGCTTATCGGAGATTGGTAGGCATGGGTATCTGAATCCTTTCATCGGGTTCGGGTCGGGTTCTGTTGGGTCCAGATCTTTCGGGTCTTAGAAATTTAGATCAATATAGGTATTTATAGTTTTTTGGGTCGGTTTCGTGTTGGGTCTTGTCAAGTCTGGATCGATCCGGATCTATAACTTCAATACATACAAAATATCCGTAATTTTCAGATCCACATTGGATCCGGATCGGATTCAGATATTTAAGATCTGAAAAAAAACATAACATATTTAAATTCACTCAAATTTAGTCAGTGTTTGTCAGATATATCTAAATTTTTAGAAAAAAAAAACTTAAATTAAACTATTAATAACTAACATAAAACATTTTTAAACTCTAAATTTTACATTTTAAAACTTTATATACTTAAAATGTTACAAAATAATGATAAATATTGTTAATAAAAGAAATTTTAATTAAATCATAAAATGATATATATAAAAGATAACACAAAAAAAAATCGTAGTTTTGGATATATATGTTTTTAAGTCGGGTACCAATTGATTTTTATCGCGTCGGGTCTATTTGGTACGGTTCTTTTTGGATCTTGGTCTATTCGGATCAGTTATTTTTGGATCTAGATCTATTCGGGTAAAATAAATTTAGACCCAAAAGATACTTGTAAATTTTCGAGTCGAATTCAGGTTGGGTATTTTTGGTCGGTTCCAATTTGAGTTTTCGGATCCAGGTTAAAATGCTGAGCCCTAGATTAAGGGGTAACGAAACTAACTGAGTATCTAATATTCTTTTAACAATAAAATAAATTATCTGAAAAAAGGATGGGTACGTGTCATGTGGCTAATCTGATGATGACCATCACTTGCGTCTCCCTTTTATCTTTCTCCTCTCGCAATCATTAAAGTACAATTAATAATCTTTAATCATTTATTTAAATTCTGAAAAGACAAATAAAGAAAGCAGAGGAGGGTAGAGAAAAGAGAAAACGAAAAACAGAAGATAGATTCGTTTCTTCATCGTCCTTTGATTCCAAAATCTAAAAACAGAAACTTTAATAGGTAAAAGAGAAAGAAGATTGTATCCGATGGCAAGACCAAACAACAACAAAAACACTGCCCTTAACTACAACCACATCCTCCAAAAAGCTCCATCTTCTTCTTCATCCCCTGCTTCTTACTCCTCTGTTACTCGTTCCAATGGCCGTATGCTCGTCCTCACCAAACCGTCCCCCAAACCCCTCAAATCTTATGCTGCTGCGTCCACCACTACCGCAACTACGGATCAAGCAATTACGGATCCAGATCCGAATCAGATCTCTCTCCGTCCCTTAGGTCATACCGGACCTGCTTCCTCGCTTTCCTTTCCATCTCGGACTCAGGAATCCGAGAAAATCGTAGCTGCTCCTCCGGCTCTGGCGTCCTTTTCACCGAAACCTGACAGGTTTGTTCCTCCGCATCTTAGGCCAGGGTTTGTCCGGAAAGACGAGAAACCTGGACTCGCTTCTTCTTCTTCTTCTTCGATTCTGGGATTGCCTCACCAGGAACAACCGCGGCAGGGATATTCAGGGTATGGACACACCGGGCGACCCAAATCGGGTGGGCATGAGAGGATTGGATCCGATCCAGAATACTTGGGTCGACCTAGATCGAGCGGAAACCGACCAGGCACCTCCGGATGATGGTATGTTAATGATGATCGTAACCTCAGTGTGATTGGGTTCTTAGGTTTACCTCAACTATCTTTAAGATTGTCTTACACGTTTTAGATTGGAAACGTGATTCTGAAGATGGTTTGTTCTTTTTGCATTGTCAAGAGTGTCTCTTGTGTCTGAACATGAGGATTCTTGTGTCCACGTTTGACCAAACACAAGTTTTACATTCATTATACATCTTACTTGTGATTCAACCTAGGGTTAAGAAAAAGCTACTTGTTTGTCCTTCCTCTTTTTCTTTTCTTGGATTTGTGGGTTTGCTTTTAAAGGTGCATGTGTGTACTTTTAAGGCCATAGATATGTTGGAGTCTGTCGTTCAAAAATAAAAGGATATGTTGGAATCTATATCTCTTCTCGACCCATTTGGCATCTCATGTCTGTTGTGTTATTTTTTGTGGAAAGCTGTAATTATAATTTTGATGATTTGTTTGTGCAGATGAGCTTGCTGGGTTTGATGTCTAGTTACTCACTGATGTTGAAGATGGAAACTACCTCTGTTTCCATGTTAACATCTCATTCTTTTAGTTTTCCAGTTCTTTTGATCAAAGACGACCCTAGATTTGTAGAAGATGTTGTTTAGTAGGGTGATACTATCGTAGACAAGGCCTGACACAATAACACTTCTTTTCTCACCTACTAGACTTCAAAACTTTGTTAATGTACTTATAATTCAATCTAGCACATGTTGTTTTTTAGATTTTAATATAGATTCTATCCAGGTTAGATCTGTTTCAAACTGATTTCAAAACAAAACAAAAAAGTTGAATGGTGATTTTAATTTGGGAGAATTGGAGATTCACCGTTCGAAGTCATTGCTTAATTTAACATACAAATGAGACTACACAATTGATCAAAACTAATAGATATTCCATAATGTGTCAGAAACCAATGTCAAATTGTCTAGAGGTGTTAACGGTGAAAGCCACAACCTCCAGTTATAGTGAAATCATGTACAAGATCAACTACCTTCTTCGAAGTCAAACAATACTTTTCAATCATCTGCAGACTTAAATCGGGAAAATTTCTTAAAAATACACCAACTGAGATTCTTTTGCTAAAAAAATATATCAATTTTTTAGACTTCCCGAAAAATACACAGTAATTTTGGTTGTCTACAAAATACATGAACTTTTGAATTTTGAAGGTTTCACACCTCAATTTTAACGGCGTTAACTCTGATTAACAGAACATTTAGACGCCGTTAGACGCTGTTAAACGACGTTAACTCTGATTCAAAAGTTCATGTATTTTGTGGACAACCAAAATTAGTCTGTGTATTTTTCGAGAAACCAAAAAAATTCGTGTATTTTTTCAGCAAAGAAAATTTAGTATGTGTATTTTAAGGAGTTTTCAAAAATATACTAAGGTGGCAAAGACATTGATTTTTTTGGACTGAAAAATGTAATTTTTGAATATATTTTGTTCATATTGAGGCCGGTTTTTCTAGGGTCAGTTTGGATCTATATTTAAAATACGTGTAAAATACCAGTAATTTTCGGATATGTATCATGTAATAGAGAATGTGTTTTTGTTTGGGTCTTTGGGTTGGGTTTGGGCCGGTTCTTTTCGGATCTAAGATATCCGGATCTAAGAACCGGCCCAAACTCGACTCAAAGAACTGAACAAAAACACATTCTCTTCCACATGATACAGATCCAAAAATTACCGATATTTTCCACGTATTTTAATTATAGATCCGAACTGATCCTAAAAAGACCGGCCTCAATATGAACAAAATGAACAAAATATAAAGAAGCAAAAAAAACACATTGTTCATATTAATACTCACATATTTAAATATATTTTGAACAATGTGTGTATTAATGTGAATAACGTGTTTTTTTGGCTTCTTTATATTTTGTTCATTTTGTTCATATTGAGACCAGTTTTTCTAGGATCAGTTCGGATCTATAATTAAAATACATGGAAAATACTGGTAATTTTTGGATATGTATCATGTGGAAGAGAATGTGTTTTTGTTCAGGTCTTTAGGTCGGGTTTGGGCCGGTTCTTAGATCCGGATATCTTAGATCCAAAAAGAATCGTCCCAAACCCGACCCAAAGACCCAAACAAAAATACATTCTCTATTATATGATACATATCCAAAAATTATTGGTATTTTACACGTATTTTAATTATAGATCCAAACTCACCCTAGAAAAACCGGCCTCAATATGAACAAAATATATTCAAAAATTACATTTTTCAGTCAAACAAAAAAAAATCAATGTCTTTGCCACCTTAGTATATTTTTGAAAACTCCTTAAAAATACACATACTAAATTTTCTTTGCTGAAAAAATACACGAACTTTTTTGGTTTCCCGAAAAATACACATACTAATTTTGGTTGTCCACAAAATACATGAACTTTTGAATTAGAGTTAACGTCGTCTAACAGCGTCTAAATGTTCTGTTAATGAGAGTCAACGCCGTTAAAATCGAGGTGTGAAACCTTCAAAATTCAAAAGTTCATGTATTTTGTGGACAACCAAAATTACTCTGTATATTTTTCGGGAAGTCTAAAAAGTTGGTGTATTTTTTTAGCAAAAGAAACTCAGTTGGTGTATTTTTAAGGAATTTCCCCGACTTAAATCATATTATTTCACTAAAGTTTTGTTTCGCATTCATTTGTTCACCAATTGTCTCGAAAGTATACTAAAAAGAATTTTATACACTCTCACACACTTTCTCTCTTATGAATTTCAAGAAATGACACTTGCTACTTGTTAGACAGTTGTTGCCTATCTAAATACCACAATACCCTCATTTTAACCAAACCATCGATTAACTAAACCCAAGGTGACTAACTTTGATTCCATTTTTTAATTCAAAACAATTCCCACCCAAAAACAAATAAACAAGTCGACTTCGACCATTTATTTTTATTTTTACGTTTCACTTTCCCTTTCCCTTGACAGTTTCTTTAACCTAGAATTCGAAGTTGAAGAAGAACTCCGAAATAGTTAACAATATTGAAATCGAAGTCGAAGAAGAAGAAACCAGCTCCGTCTCACGAACCAGACCCACCGCGAAACGCCGGAGGTAACTTTTACCACTCCGGCCCCAGTTTCAATTTAAATTACAGATCTCTGAGTGAGTATAGAGGTCGTTATTTAGATTTGTATATCTTCCAAAGTATCAATTTCTCGACGAAATCAGCAACCATTGTCCATCTTATATGAATTTCTCTCACAAATTTATTTCCTTCATTGGCATAATTCTCACTGTCCCGGTTAATTTCATTTTACATGTGGTTATTTTAGGTTCATCGGGACCGGATCTACGCCTACCGCCGAGATTATTATGTTGCCTGCCTATTATGCTGCACACTCCATCGATGCCTAGATGATAACACATGTCCCCATCCCTTCTTTTGTGTAATATTTTGGAGGATGTGTCTTTCCATTTCGTGTATGCTTTTGATGCGCTGCTTGCCAATGGCAAAAAATATACGCTTGATTTCTATTTCAATGCACCTTGCAGACTACTAAATCTTCCTTTTTAGTAATTGTGTCTGTACTTTTTTAGCGTTTGAGTTGGTTGTTTCTTATATTATATGAATATAAACCTTCTGTCCACATACCTTCTGTCCATATGCACGCTACATCCAGAGCTTTTACTGTTATTTTTAAATATTTTGTTAATGGCAGAACTCAAATCAAACTTCGTTTCCATTTAGTATCCTTCCTCACTAAATCTCCCTTTTTAGTAATTGTGTCTGTACTTTTTTAGCATTTGAGTTGGTTTTTTCTTATATTATATGGACATAAATCTTCTGTCCTTATACCTTACGTCCATATCCACGCTACACCCCAGAGCTTTTACTGTTATTTTTAAGTATTTTGTTAATGTCGGAAACCAAACTTCGTTTCCATTGAGTTGGTTGTTTCTTATATTATATGGACATAAATCTTCTGTCCACATACCTTCTTCCATATCTACGCTACACCCCAGAACTTTTACTGTTATTTTTAAATATTTTGTTAATGTCGGAACTCAAACCAAACTTCGTTTCCATTTAGTATCCTCCCCCAAGCTGTGGGAGATTCAAGTCATGTTCTCGATTTCTAATTTCAGAGATTCAACTTAAATACAACAAAAAAAAACACACCTTTCTGCCCCCTCCCCCAAGCTGCGGCTACTCCTCTTTGTCTAAAACACAGAAACTTAACATTTATTATGAAAGATACAATTTCAAAAATTAGACCACCCTCACCGTGGGATCTCTGTTCATCCAACGGCTCAAAGGTGTCCCTCTATCCTAGACACTAACCTTAATAACTCCTCTAAGGAAATATATCTGATCTCCATAATAAAAGACAAAATTTTAATATAAAAAATTCAAATCATCCTCGCTTCACGCTAACCCAACGTAAGGGTCTCTTATGTAATCAATCTTGGAAAGAAAGATGATAAAGTGTCCTTAAAGTAAGATGTGTCTAAACATGATAAAAAAAGAGGCACAAGTACCTTAATAGGTAACTCACTCTACTAAAAATTGAGGAAAAACTCATAAAAATTTGAGGCATATGAATTTGTAGTTTTTATCCTTTCTAATTCTAACAGTTTTCACATGCATTTTTTTAGGATTGTCTATTATTTATTTCTAAATCTTAAAATATGCATGTGAAACTGAAAACGACTTAAATACAGCAATGGTTAAACTCAAATGCATCTGGTAAAAGAAAAAATAACAACTTGACAAAAATAGTAAACACTTGTGTTTGTTGACTTCGCTCTTCTCCTAATGATCTCTGTGTTGACTGTTGAGTAAAATAGTTGATATATTATCGACGTCATCATACATTATGTGAAAGAAGTTCATCATATTTCATTTGTATATTAATGACCAAATCATATTTTTCGTTTTGACCAAAAAAGACTAATCATATTCTAAACCGCTAATTTTACCTCTAAATAATCAAATCACCGACGCCCCTCAAAACTCACTCACTCACTCAATCACCACGAAAAAATCCGCAATAAGTACTTTACCTTTTTGCCCTCCGTCTCCATTAATGGAGGCATTAATGCAACCATCTGCTTTATTTTAGATCTCTCTTCCAAGCAAGAGATCTCAATCTAACAGAGATCTCTCTCAGATCAACAATGGGATATCTACCACCGCAACACCTCGACTTCTCCTCCGCCAATAACGGCAACGACCACCATCAAGACATCTCCAAAGACAACCTCCTCACCCTCTTCAAATCCCAACAAGATCTCCTCAACCACTTCTTCAAACACCTCGACCTCTCCCAAACCCTCTCCTTCTCCCGCCTCCTCCTCTCCACCTCCGGCACCGTCTTCTTCACCGGCGTCGGAAAATCCGCCTTCGTCGCCAACAAAATCTCCCAAACCCTCATCTCCCTAAGCTTCCGCTCCTCCTTCCTCTCCCCTCTCGACGCCCTCCACGGCGACATCGGCGCCCTCTCCTCCCGCGACGTCCTCGTTCTCTTCAGCAAATCGGGCTCCACGGAGGAGCTTCTCCGCCTCGTCCCCTGCGCGAAGGCGAGAGGAACGTTCTTGGTCTCTCTCACCTCCGTTCCTGGGAATCCGCTCGCGGGAGTTTGCGATATGAATGTGCATTTGCCGTTGGAGAGGGAGTTGTGTCCGTTTAATCTTGCTCCCGTGACGTCTACGGCGATTCAGATGGTGTTTGGTGATACGGTTGCGGTTGCGCTCATGGCGGCTAGGAATCTGTCGAAGGAAGAGTATGGAGCTAATCATCCTGCTGGTAGGATCGGCAAGAGCTTGATTTTTAAGGTTTGTCTCACATGATAACCCTTAAGAATAGGCCTGGACGTTTATTACTAAACCGGAATCGAATCCGGTCTAAACCGTTTTTAATTAAATACTGGATCGGTAGGTATTTTGGTTATCGGATATTTTCCAAACCCAAATAAATATCCTAAGTTAATTAAACCTGTTAATTTTTATATAATTTTAGATATTTTAGTTAGTGTATAATGTTGTAGAAATTTTAGCTGTTTTATTTTTTAGCTATTTCGAATATTTTGTAGTTTATCTACTTTTCATCATTTTTGAATAATTTATATATACTGTAGTTTTTTAATATTTTGAGTGTTTAGGACATTGGATATAATATAACTAACCTGGTGATCCGGTAAGTTATCAAATCCACTATCCGAAATCCGATTCGAACAGATAAATTAGAAGAAAAAAAAACTACTTCCCCCCAATGCCTACTTAAGAACCTATAGAGTTGGGAGTGAATCTTTCTATTATTATTATTTCTTGCAGGTAAAGGATGTTATGAAGAAGAAAGAAGAGCTTCCAGTTTGTAAAGAAGGAGACTTGATAATGGATCAGTTAGTTGAGCTAACCAGCAAAGGATGTGGGTGTTTGCTTGTGGTTGATGAACATCATCGCTTGATCGGTACATTCACAGATGGAGATCTTCGCAGGACTCTTAAGGCAAGTGGAGAGGCTATCTTCAAACTCAGTGTTGGAGAAATGTGCAACAGGTAAGAGAAAAAAAAAACTCTGCTTTAGATCCTATACACATTGGTGTGTGTTGACCCTATTGTTTTGAAAATAGGAAGCCGAGGACAATTGGACCGGAAACAATGGCTGTTGAAGCGATGAAGAAGATGGAGTCACCGCCATCGCCTGTACAGTTTCTACCGGTGGTCAATGAAGACAACACCTTGATTGGAATTGTAACGTTGCATGGTTTGGTTTCAGCTGGCCTCTGAATACGAAGCTGCCTCTGTGTCCGAGTTTATACACATAAGTTCATTCTTTTTACGTTGGTGATGTTCACAGCGAGTGAACTATTGTATTTGTGTCTATTAGTACCCCCCATGTATTGTACCCTCTTACCATTTGCGCAAAGGATGTGTATATAAGAGGTTACTTACTATATATTTGTCCCCTCATACCTTTAAGCTCTCTACTCTTGCTTTCATGCATGCCTTATAAAGCTACCGAAAGATCTTTCCTTGAGTGCACATAATACCATGAATCATCTTCTGTTGTGGTTACAGGTTGAACAGAAAATGGCTGAAGAAACTAAGGCACTACAGTTTTGGTTTTTGGCCCATTTGTATAGAGCGGTTTGTTACAATGATATGAGAAAATTTAATGTAGTGATTCCAAACATTTGAAACTATGGTGGTTTCAAAATTTCTTTTAATATTTTTATTACTTGTAAGTTGTAACTAATAATGCTGTAGGATTAATTTTCATTTATGTACTTTAGATTTTATTAACAATTATGACCAGAAGATAATTTATTAACATAATGCTTTGAAACTTACAATAAATAATTTCCATTTCCCCTGTCGTTTATGACTTATCCTTTCTCAAATTATTTAATTTCATTTATTTATTATAACCACGTGTTGCCTGCCTGTACAACCCTCTCCACTAATCTCTAATTTATGCCACAATTAAATTTAAAGAGACACAAATTCCTTGTAAACCAAACACACAAACCGGTGAAATTAATTTGTCTACCTGTACAGTAGATAGATACTAGAGATGCAAGGCATCCTTATTTATGTAAACTTGTTTGCTTTTTTTTTTTCTTTTTTTCTGTTGCAATCATATATGACCTTTACAACAACAACAAAAAAAATAAAATAAATGAATCAACATAGTGATCTACCCAAAATGTCGCTTTTTGTTTTCTTGGTGCAAGTGTTTGATGATAAATCTATACCAAGAAAACGATAATGACTGAACTTTGATTCAAAATTTCGTTGAAGTTTCTGTTCAGCTGCAGTAGATTGGACGAATCAGTACGATTGGTAAAAGATTTTTCAATCTGATTGTAAATCAAATCTTCTCAAGGTATATTAGCTCATATACAATCGTAAAATGAATTGAATTATGATTGTGTAAGTTCTAACTTTGCTCATATACAAATCTATTTCTTAACTTTCAGATCTAATTCTCCCTATCTGTTCACAAATCTTTCTCTGTAATTAGTAAATTACAAACTCAAAAAAAAACATTGCATTTAACAAAATATCTTTTTAATTTTGCTTTTTCCCCAGACAAAGGCCAAACTTTATTCATGATATTACTCTTGTATGTGGGCACATTACCAAGAAGAACTATGAAACCCGCTCCAATAAAAAAAGTGAGATAAATTAGGAAGGTGAATAATCAAACACAAAAAACAAAAACCTTTTCCCCCATCTTCTCACCCTCTGTTTCTAACATTTTCCTCTGTTTTTTTTCCCGAGAAACAGAAGGAAAGTTTCTCTTTGTCTACCGGAATAAGAGATTTTTGTGAATAGGGTAGCTGCACCCATCTTAAGTTTCGTGTTGAGGTTAAAGAAGATTACATTTCTATCGTTAAATTCTCCAGCTTTTTTTTTCCTTATATTCTGTGTATTGAAAATCATCACTTTATCTTCTCAGTTTTGGCTATGCAAGAAACTTTCTCGCAATTCACTAACGGCAAAGTTGTTAAAGGTTTCTCCTTTGATTAGATTCACAAGTTAGGGCTTTTTTGGGAACGTACTTGGCTTTAGCATTTGAGATTGGGTTTTGTGTCTAGCCATGGATTCTGAATTGAGTTTTCCTTCAAGAGACGTTGTGAAATGTTGTGACTTTGGTTGTGATTATCCCATTGGGGCATGTTCTTCAGATTCTTGGACTAGAACGGTGAAAAGAAAGTTTAACAAAGAAGGGAACAACACTATGTTATTGTTACGAGGCTCTTCTGATTCATCTTCAAACGCAAAGTTACTAGTTGAGAACGAATGTGCGGCTTTACTTGAGGATCTCTCTAGCCAAAGAAAGACAGTGAAAGAGCTTGACTTGGAGCTTGAGGAGGAGAGAAACGCTGCTGCTTCAGCAGCTAACGAGACAATGTCCATGATACTTAGGTTGCAGAGAGAAAAGGCTGAGATACAGATGGAAGCTCGGCAGTTCAAAGCGTTTGCTGAGGAGAAGATGACGCATGACCAAGAAAAGGTTAAGGTTCTTGAGGAGTTGTTGTATGAGAAAGAGCAAGCTATTGAGGTTTTGTCTTATGAGGTTGACGCTTACAAGGATATGTTGCTGAGTTATGGGATAACAGAAGCAGAGATGCATGATCAGATTCTTGGTTTTGGTAGAGACTCTAGCACGGTTGGTATTGATCTTTACCCGTGTGAGTACACTTTAAAATGTAGTGTGGATGATGAGAATCCGGGTGGAGCAGATGGTAATGTTGAGGTTGTGGAGAAGGTGATGGTTGGTCAATCTCCAAGATGGCCATACTATGATCCAAATTCGCCTTTGGGAGCTGCTAAAGAAATAAAGAGAACATGTTTTGCAGACTCTCCTATGTCTTGTAGTAGTGATAGAGATTATACTATTGACTCCATTCATGATGATGAGCCTAGTAAGATTATCAAGGGAAAGTTGAACGGTGATCACTGGACTTCTCCGAGGTACCAAGAACCGGTGGTCATGACTCAGCAAGGTGTTAATGAGCCGATTGAGAAGCTTTACACAAGGCTTCAAGCACTTGAGGCTGATAGGGAGTCATTGAGACATACCATTGTATCTATGCGAACAGACAAAGCTCAATTGGTGTTGCTGAAAGAGATAGCACAGCATTTATCAAAGGATACTGTTGCAACAAACAGGAGAAACCTAGCTAGCAAAATACCATCTTTCAAAGCATTCTGTGTAGTAACGTTCTTCAAGGTAAAACAATCACTTCAGAATCTCTCCTATGTTAAATTACGTATTGCTATCTGAACTATGTGTAAGTAAGCCTGAGTTTTACTCTCCCGTCATTCTTGTGTGTTTAGTGGATTGTGTCTTTCGTCTCTTGGAGAAGGAAAGCCAAGCAAAAAAAGTAAGAAGATTATCCTGTAAAAACACTTATTACTTTATGAGTTTACTACTTTCTGATGAATGCAACTACAAAATTGCAATGCAGGTATGTGTACAATTTGTCAGCGAACAATATGGGGATGCTTATGCTTCTAGGTGAGGGATCTCGAACTAGGAGATGGAGCTGTTTAACAAGTTCACATGTCTAGATATCTATTATTTTCTCTCTCTCTCTCTCTCTCTCTCTCTCTCTCTCTCTCTCTCTTGGCATAGTTAGTGCAAACTGAATGTATATTTCTCTTTATTGCAAGACATCCAATCAAAGACGTGTATGGATGTTCAGATTAATCCAGAGTCTATTCTTTTCCTCGTGTTTTTGGATCTTAAATCTCCCCAAATCAAGACCATACAAGTCATGAAGGAGACAGCGTTGTTGCAATACTTTCAATACTTGTTGCAAACTTCAGAGGGATAGAGTAGCATATGACCTGTAAAAACATATTAGTTCATATTAGAAAGTACTGATGACCGAACAAGGTTTGCAAAACAGATAAGATAATGGATGATATAATAGCCTAACATGCTTAAGAAAAGCAAAATGAAGTTGCTGAAGAAATCACAACTTGGTGCCTGGATAGGAGTGGTTCTTCTTGTGCAAAATTAATCCAGATTTAATGCTCTAAATCACTTGAACAACACTCTCCTAATATCACTTGATTAGAGTAACATCAACTAAAATGTTGTCTCACCAATTAGAGCAAGAAGCAAAGAAAGATCGTTTTCTCGAGCCTCGACAATAACAACATAACCAAAGAACTCTGGTCTCTAGCAAATACAAATTAGTTTCTTAAAAACTATTATTACACAGCCTAAGCCTCTACCTAAAAGGTAACAATCACAAAACCAAGAGCCTCCAAACGAATTCCATTGAGCTCACTTCATCATTTACTTCTTTTGATCCCTGCCAATTGTTTTCACCTAAAACACAAAATCAACCATTGTTTGAATCCCCACACTGAAAGACATGGTCACACCACTATGTCAAAATGAATCTGTTAACGGGTCTTAAATTTCCTAGCTTGAACTACCAGACTACTATGCATATAATCCAATTCTTCTGGGTCTACCCTCTAATGGTGCTTGTTGGCTTTTATCTTGGCATCAGCTTTTCCTAATCGGTGAACATATAAATAAGTCAACCAAATACTGAATACATATCTGATTCGGTCGACACATTTCACCCAAGTCTGCAATTTTACTCACTGCTCCAAATCACCGCATATAATAACACCATATAACATCACTTGGTAACTCATAGCTATCATTTTTTTTTGGTTCAAAAGCTTGCTAGCTAGCATCTTAAAAGCTATTTTCTCTGCTTGTGTTGGTTGGTAAAGTGTGCCTCCGCTTCTTCTTCTTCTTCTGGTTATCTCCAACGTACACTGCAAGGAACCATTTCGTTGCCCAAGTTTTCTTTTCTCATACCTGCTACACAGCTACCAAGAATCTTTTTGGCAGCTCGATGCAATCCGGACCAGCAACAGAAACAAATCAATTAAAGACTTTAACTTATGAGTATGTGTGGAGGATTTAGACATTATTATGGTTGAGATTTGGTGTTTTGATCAGGAAAAAGGCTCAAGAGGTTATACATCAAAGTTAACCCAGTTTTATGGAGTTAAAAGCCCAAGAAGATTAAAAAAGAAGTGGTTTCTTGGTTGTTCAAAAAGAGTGACGAAAATTAGATCATCTATTGCAAGAGGCTCTCATCTCTTTTGCATGCAAGAACTCCTTGTTGAAAAAACCTTCTCACTCCTTCATGCATTGTTTTATCATTTCTTCGAACAATAAATTTCTACCTTTCTCAGCAAGTATAGTTATCCTATAATAAATCATGTAATCTCTTGTTTCAGTCATTCAACCTTTTTAATAAAAATCTTCTTTTAAGTTTGTTAAATCCTTTGTCCAATAAAGATCGTATATTTGTTGCGAGGTGTCAGAACCCAAAACAACAAACCCTTCTAGGCCGTTTTGTGTGTTATATCCTTGGGTCTAGGAGAAAGGCCTTCTGCAACTTTTGTGTGACCATTCGTTCACCTTTCTTTGATCAAATATTCGATTTAAAGCCTATCCATATACTAACCTTCAAGTGCCGATTTCTAGGAGGGTTTTCATCACAGACAATCAGAGCCTATCCATATACTAACCTTCAAGTGCCGATTTCTGGGAGGGCTTTCATCACAAACAATCAGAACTTATCTAAATGAACTTTTTAATGCTTTTAAAACCAGAACGACCCGGTGGTTAGACCATATTCGACCATAAACATGTCACAAAGTCGGGTTAGGTTCTCGTAACTTGTTCGATCATGAACCGATCAAGAAGTCAAATTAGATTATGTACAGTATCATGTTTACTATTTTAATTTTATAATTTTTATATTAAAAAAAGTTGAACCCGATTACTGAGCTAGGTTTCACCCGATCGAATCTACTGAATTGTTATCCAATGACTATCCGGTTCAGTTTCTGGTCCGGTTTTAAAAACATTACTTTTCACTTAAGTACTTAATAATTTGTGATAATCGATTCATAAGAAAATGTAAACTATCTAAACTGTTTTTTAGTATTGTGTGATTCTTACTCTTTTGAAGGAAACTTTATTACATATCTTTGATGAATAAATTATAAAATGTAAAGTAATCAAATCTGAAAAAAATGATTTGTCTCTACTAAGATTAAAACATGGTGCGATGGAGAAAATGAATAATCTTGGGCTGAATCGTTTGATCAATAGCTTGTACCCTATCATCTTATGGTCTTCTTCATTATGTTATCTCCTCCTCCAACTGTACCTATTCAGTAGTCAAAAGCAAATCTTTCTCATGTCAGCTTAGTATCTATTTCCGGACAAGATCTTTCATGTAAGGGGCCTTTTGTTATTTATGAATTCATAAGCACCAGAATCCAGCTAAGTTATTACAGACACACGTGCTACAACGACAACGAGATTTCACGTGGAAAAGCAGAGCCTATCTAGCTGAGGATGGTTGATCCATGTGATACCACACCATGTGCACATGAGGCCATGACTGACTTATCAAATAACGTGACCAATATGTATGTCTCATCAGGTTTAATTTGTGCAAATATAGTATAACTGTATAAGATTGATGGACAGGTCCTAATGGATAAGAACTGAAGCATTATAATGTAAGACACATGTTAGATACTTTTTTTGCCAATAAGATATATTTTGCAGGTTTTAATTAATTAATAATACATTAATCACATTAACAAAAATGACGAACCTAGCTACATATGCTGCTCACATAATATATTAAAAAGACCAAGAATCATTTTTCTCAGTTGTATTATTATTCTAACCATATATATGTGTATATTGGTGATTTGTAATAGTGAATAGTTATTATGAGACCCAAAAAGAAAAATGATCACTAGTAGTTACTATAAGAAGATTCAAATTAATGAATTTTGTATTTCATAACCAAAGTGTTTCTACAACTTATAATTATTAATTTCACGATCATAATGCAGCCATATAAATTTATTATATGCATGTGAGTTAAATATATATAACACTGACCAAATGTTAATTTTGATAAATATATTTTAAATCACTATTTCAATAGGACTTATAATGAGCCAAGTATATTATTTAAATACTCTCTTAGTAAACCAATTTACGTTATAAGGATTACTTTAGTAAACTCATTATAAGGTTTAGGATACAATGACAAAGGTACCTGATATGGGATGCGTGTAAATAGGTTTCGTCAAGGAAGGTTGAGGAACACCGATGGCCTGAGATTGATGATAAGGATAGACAGTGTACAGAGGCATCATTGGGCTTCCAACCATTACACGTCCTCCACCATACAAGTGATAATGGTGGTTGTAATATTGCGGTTGTGGCTGCGGCTGTGGCTGTGCATAGTACTATCCATTCATATAGGTTCCTCCAACGTATCCAACTTTCTAACATCTCAAACAAATTTATTTCATAATGTGGCAAATTATAGCGCAGGCATATCGTTTTTATTTAGAAATCATGAGACTTACTTGATTGAAGGTCATGTTTGGGGAAACGTAGGATGAAAGGTACCTATAATATCAAACTGAACTAATCAAATACCATATTGACTTTAAGTACATTTTGAAGAAGATTAGACAGTACAGATTAATAATAGTTTACCCATAGAAAGGAACGGCCTGATGATGGTGTTGTTGTTGAAGTTGATGTTGCTGGTGTGTGAATCCCGCAGGATAGAACCATTGAACTTGATTATTCGCCACATGTCCTGGCGTGGCCCTACTCACATTCTTTGATCCTTCACATGTCAAATTAAACATCATATTGACGGTAAACTTAAGATTAGTTTTGAAAAATTAGATGGTTTTTAAAAATTTCAAATGACATGAATTAATGGTGTTTTTTTTATGTTTGACAGCCTTGCAAAAGGTGCTCCGCGGTTTAATCTTTTCCCATGTAATCTCTAGAACTAATGGTGTTTTGATTTCATTTACTCAATATTCAATTGGTGAGTTTGAATGAACATTCTTTCCTAGAAATTCTAAAACTAAACAGAAAAACATTAATTGTTTGCTGCCAAATCAGTAACTAATGATTTGATTTGTTTTTTATTCCAAAACTGCTAATGACAATCTTATATAACACAAGAGATCATATACACATGCACCATACTGCATGCCCATAACTATTCTCTGAACATTACCCGTATAGGAAACTTACTATATGATATTATAAACAATGATTATAAGTATATAACTTATTCTAACTTATTCCTTTCCGTTAAAATTTTGACGTGTATGTAATGATGTTATATACTTTCACTGCGATTTCGATTATTGATCAATCTAGATGTCTTAAAACTGCAACTCTTCCAGATGCTATAAATGCTTAATTTGTTTAAAATTTGGTTTATGATCCACTGGTTATAATTAAAGATATTTTCTTATAAAAAGACTTTAGATGAACCTTGTTGAGGAGAGGCCATGGTGGGGGATCTACGAAGACGTCCACCAAGAGAGGCAAGATTGCAGTTGGCACGTCGGCAATTGATGATCGGAGTCGAGTCTTCACAAGCTCTCTTCGCAGCTTCCGCATCTTTGAAAGTTACCTAAAAAATAAAATGAATTGAGAAACAAAGAGAATAAAGTGAGATAAATGTAAAAGAAAAGAACAAAGAGAAAGAAGAGGAACATACGAAGCCATAGCCTTTGGAACGGCGAGTGAGTTTGTCGGAGATGATGACTGCCTCCAAGATATCACCGTACTTGATGAAATGATCATGCATTGCTTCTTTCTTAGTGTCCCAAGCCAATTCTCCTACGAACACTTTGGTCAGCTTAGTGTCTCCAAAACATCCTTTCACGTTGTTGCTCGTCGTCATTAGATCGTGTGTGTGTCTTGAGAGAGAGAGAGACTAGAGAAAGCAAGAGACGAGAGTGAATTGACTTGAATTATATAAAACGGGGAATAATAAAGAAATTGGGTAAAATAGAGAGTGACAGATTGGTGGACAGGTAACTCTCAACGTGAATAATACACCCTTCTTATGTCTCTATTCACTCTTTTCCCTCTTTCTTGATACAATCGGCCCATATACTTATGAGATCTATACTTATAAGTCTATAATCATTAACATTACCAAACAGTATCGGATAGATCTAGGAAGTTATAATTTATGAACGTTTTAAGATTAATTTTAATAAGTATTTTTTTGACAATTTGAAGATTATACAACTTATGTATAAAACTCTTTAAAAATGGAAGGCTAAAACAAAAGTTCCGGTTGTGCCTAAAATCGACCCTGTTACCAAATATGGATGCACTGCCATGAGTTTCGACTTTCGACATTGTGTTAGTTTACATGTCCATTCATATGCTCTAACTCGATTCTTGCCACATTTTGCTGTATTAATGTTGAGACTTGAGATTGTGGTTTTACCAGATAATTAATATTAAATTGTTGTTTCTTTAAAGATTGGGGATAATATCAAAAGGGAAAGAAGATTCCTATAGGAAATGACTGATTGGGCTGTAGCAAATATATTTAAATTTCAACTATATAAATTACCAGTTATGTTTTTTTTTTAGTTTTTAAATCTAAAACTAAAAAAAGAAAGTGGTAGGAACCTTGTTTTCTTAAGAAAATTTATATTGCTTTAAGATTATTTTTCCATTTTTATTTATCTCATTAAAAATTTAATAGATGTATTAGGTACAATTACATCAACAAAATTTATAAACTAAATTCTACAGCTAGAACGCAACCAATCATCCACTATATTCCTTTAAATTAGAAGATGGGACAAGGGTTTTACATTATTATGTGATTTTCTCTACCTCAATATATGCACTATTATTTGTGAATTGATTTTTTATTTATTTCTGAACTTTCATGTTAAAAATATTAGAATGGTTAACGTCTAATGAATGATGAGATTCAATTATTATATTAAATATTAAATTTAAATTATTATATAAAAATTAGCCCAAAAAATATGAATATTATATTTAGTAAATTAGATAATCAAAATAAAACTGATAGAATAAAATTTAGCCAAAATAATTATAAATAAAAAGATAACTCTTATAGATTGTATTTTTATCCAAAAGAATCTCTATTAATATATTTTAAAAATAGAAATATAATTTCTATGTATATTTTGTTGTTATCCGAAAAATATATTTTAATCATAAAAAGTTAAAAATTAAGAATTACAAAGACATAATTAAACTAAAAGAGAACATTTTGGTTTTAAAGATTTATTTATTAATAATAAACATATTGTATAAAAAAATTCAAAATATTATAATACATTTGAGAGTTTTCAAACAATTTAACGAAATAATGAGTATATATATATTTTGATGAATAACTTTATCAAATGTAAATAATTTGATATCCAGTTAAAATTGTTTCAAAAATAAGTAATAATTTATCATATTTTTGAATTAAAAGTGCATGCATTGATAAATAATTTTAAAATAATTGTGTTTACATGTGAGGATAAAACACATACTTTGAGATAATATGTTAGGTCAACAAAAGTCTAAGTAATGTTGGGCCGAACGGCATTATGAGTTTTTGAGGCTCCGTTCATGTGATGGGTCATTATTTTTGCGTAACGAATAAATTATCTGCTTGTATTGAATCTATATTTGAAATGAATGATTTTAATGAATCTTCTAAGATTGAATGTGAAATATAAATTTATCATGATTGTTAAATCATTTAGAATTTTTAAGTACTTTTAACTAAGAAACTCTACTAAAATAGTGTAAAATTCCTAGGAATACTCTATCAAAATAGTGTAAAATTCACAATTTCTTTTCAGCTCAAACTATTAGATTTCAAAGTATTTTATGAAATAAAAATTTTAGTAACACTATATTTTAATTTTTTTAAACAAAATTATGTTTAAATAAGTGTATTTGTCTATTTAATATAAATCACCTAAAAATATATCTTCCACTCTGTTTTTCTTTCATAGTTTTAATTGTGGAATGTGTTGGCCACTTGTTTCTCCTCACTGGTCAGTCATTCACCTTACGATTTAAGGACTTCTGGAATTGCCATAACGAGCGGCAGATTTTATTAAGAATGAAGCTAATTATAGAATTTAAACATTCACCGATCATTAAGCCTCTCACAAATAGCAAGCAATTTCTAACCATCGAAACCAAAAAGTTTATAATCAAAAGAAAATATAAGAGCAATAAAAAGAAAAGAAGAAGAAGAACATAACAAAATAAATAAATTAAACTTTTTTGCAAGTGAATTTTCTAAACTATCGATTCTCTGTTTCGCTCAGGCGGAATCAGAGAATCGTTTCAAGCTAAGCATTCGAGGCACACCACATTTTGTTATATCGAATCGTTTACGGAGGAAGGAAGCATTTCAAGTGGTAAATAAAATAATTCCTGGTGATTTTTTTTTTAGAAGTTAATATTTGTATTGTTTTACGATATGCAAAACTAAGAACAAGTTTTTGTAGAAAAATGGAAATGTCTCAAACCGACGGAAGAATGGAAGGTTGGCTTTACACCATCCGACATAACCGGTTTGGTCTTCAGTTCTCTCGTAAACGATATTTTCTTCTTCTCGACAACAACCTTAAAAGCTTTAGATCAGTACCATCAGATCACAATGAGGTTTGTCTCTTTTTTTTAATCTCATTTTCCTCATTTTATTTATGTGTTATGTTCTTTAGTATATTGGTAGATTACTTGTAGATTCAAAATATTGCATGAACAAGTAAAAACGGACGAACATTGGATCTTCATGTTGTTGTTGTTTTGTTCTGTATAGGAACCTGACAGAAGAGCATCTCTAGACTGTTGCATTAGGGTTACTGACAATGGAAGAGAGAGTTTCCATAGAAAGGTACCAAGTTTTGGATAATGGTAGTAATAAAGCTACAAATCTCTAATGTTTACACATTTTAATAAGTTAATTTTCCATATGTTGTTTCAGATCCTATTCATATTTACACTTTACAACACTTCAAATCATTTGGATCAATTGAAGGTTTGTTTGGAAGGTTATTTTTCGATATCTTAGTTTTTTCTTCTTTTTGTTATAATAATCAGTTAGATTTCTTTATCTATGAACAGTTGGGAGCAAGTAGTCCTGACGAAGCAGCCAAATGGATAAGATCATTACAAGATGCTTCACAAAAGGTTTTAAGGTTTTATTACATTATAACATTTGAGACTCTTATACAGTTGATTTATGTTATCAGGGGTTTCCTTTTCCGGATTGTGAATTTGTATCTCATGCTGAGAAAGGACTTGTGAAGCTTGATTTATCCAAGAGGACACGCCGCAAAGTTTCAGTTGATTGGACAAATTACTCATCATTGAATGTTGAAACAATAGCACCTGATGTCATTGCTCCTTCTCCATGGAAAATCTTCGGATGCCAAAACGGTAAGAAAAATATAAATATCTTTTGTAACAAACTTGTCACTCAAGAAACCATTGGCCTTACTGAGCTTTTGAGTTTTCAGGTTTACGCCTTTTCAAAGAAGCTAAAGACTGGGATTCACGAGGAAAGGTAATGTTTATTTTGTTCATTACTGCATTGTTTGAATCATATTGTTTATCTTTAATTTTGATTGTTTTGATTAAACCTCTTGTAGCATTGGGATGATCATCCTGCAGTAATGGCAGTTGGAGTCATTGATGGTACTTCAGAAGATATTTTCAATACGTTAATGTCTCTTGATCCTTTAAGATCAGAGTAAGCTCTAAAACTTTGATCTGAGAGGCTAACCAATCACAGTAGTCTACTAGTAGATGGACTATATTGTCATTGATCTTCCATTTTGGCCACTACTATACATGCCTTGACTTGCAAGAAACACTTTCTATTATGTTTAGAGAATAATTAGGTTTTTGACTTGGGGTTTACACGAATTACTTGTAGGTGGGACTTTTGTTTCTACAAAGGCTGTGTGGTGGAGCATCTTGATGGACACACAGATATAATCAATGTCCAGTTGTACAATGATTGGTTGCCATGGGGAATGAATCGGAGAGACTTATTGCTGAGACGCTACTGGAGAAGGGAAGAAGATGGAACCTATGGTCAGACAGTTTCTTGAGATTTTAGATGTTTATTCTCCCGGATTATATATAAACTTATTTAATCTTGAATATCACAGTGATACTTTGCCACTCTGTTTATCACAAGAAGTGCCCACCAAGGAGGGGATACGTTCGAGCTTGTGTCAAAAGTAAAGCTTCTTACCTCACATTCTACTAGGGTTTTGCGTTAAAGTTCCAAGTTTACTTCATAGTTCTTTGTTTTTTCTTTATGAGTTTTACATTTGAAATGTAGGTGGCGGCTACGTGGTGACTCCGGTAAGCAAAGGGAAACAATCACTAGTAAAGCATATGGTAGCCATTGATTGGAGAAGCTGGAACTTATACATGAGGCCGTCTTCTTCAAGATCCATAACCATCCGTGTGGTTGAAAGACTTGCGGCGTTACGTGAAATGTTCAAAGCGAAACAAGGACGTGGCTTCGCTGAGTTCGTCTCAGGGGAGTTCATGCAAACCAAACCCTGCTTGTCTAAGATCAACACTAGACCCCTTATTCCAGAAGCCAAAAGGGTTGATCTAGACCTTGTGAAGGCTGATGAAATGGAGAAACCTTCTTCAGCACGCAACAGTTTGATGGACTTAAATGATGTTTCTGATGAATTTTTCGACGTTCCTGAGCCCTCCGAGTTTGATAGTTTAATTGATAACTCTCCCTTTTCACAAGGACACTCACAGGTAACACCATTTTTCACTAGTTGTTTTGCTTGTGGGTCAAAGTAAAAATTGAAAATTTGTGTGTGCTTCAGATCAAGTTACCATCACCAGCTGGTATTGTCA